TCTTCCAGTGGAGGCTTGTCCTAAGGGGCCAAAGGGCCTTGGCACTGGCGCAAAATTTGTAAATATTTCGATTTTTAAAAATATTTCTTTTTATATTAACTACAATAATTATTATAAATGTCGGATCAAATTATGGCTAAACGATATATATATAAATTATTTATCACTATTTAATTTGATACCGTCGTATTATTCTTAGACACAAAAAAATTTAATAATTCAAGAAATTTACTGTCCGCCATCTATCCGAGCACATCTAATAGTGGCCCGGCTGCTTACATATCAATCCATTGTAAAAGTTTACTAAAGATCACGCCATTGGCCTGTAGAAAGTGCTTCTTATACATTCAAACGGGGCCACGTTTTAAGCGGCTTGGAATAAATAGTTAGAATAGTATTGTTTCAATCGCTTGTTCGGCGAGTTTGGCGTATTGCTTTTGACATTTTATGCGGGCTGAATTTTTCTTTGTTAGGTAGTTAGAATAGTTGAGTTTTTAAAGTATAATAAATTAAAAATCGTCCGAGTGTCCAAAGCACTCGCTCGAGGAAAAAACCCAAATAAGGGAACTTGGGAGACCTCTTTCCGATTTGGAAATAACAAAAATGCAGAAGGCTTCCACTTCAAGTTCGTCAAACTTCAAAGGCCGGATAAAAAGTTTAACCGGAATTTGTACTTATAAAATAACTGGATTTGTGGATGTAATGAAAAAAACGCATTTTTTTATTTTGTGTATGTTTTGTTCGGGGGCGATTCTTCGTAGACGATGCATGGTGTAACTGATTTGGTACACATTTATGAGAAAATTAAAACACATGAAAACAGTAAGGCACATGTAAATAATATTTTTAGTTATTTTTTGCTTGGAAAATCAAATATACTGACTCAATTAAATTCGGCTTCTACACAAAATATTATTATCCACAATAAACAAGTTGATAAAAACAGATACATTTAAAATATCATTATTAACTGTATTAGATTTTGTGGTTCATTAGAATTAGCATTGCGCGGTCATGATGAAACCAAAGAATTCAAAAATAAAGGAGTGTTCCGAGAATTGATAGATTTTAGTTCTGAATTAGATGCAGATTTAAAGGAACATTTCAACAAAGCAACAGTATTTAAAGGGACCTCTAAGACCGTACAGAACGAACTACTAGACTGAATGCTTGGCGTTTACTATGAAGAAGTGGCTAAATAAATAAAAAAAAAACGAATTTTGTAGCTGTAATTGCTGACGAAACTACCGATGTTGCTAACAAATTTCAGTTGGTCATTATTCTACGATACATTGCCTCCAGTAAGCCAGTAGAAATATTTTGGAAATTTGTAAATCCTCCCGGACACAATGCCATTTCAATAGCAAATTGCATTTTAAATGAAATTCATTCAAAAATTAATGACACACCAAATAAGTTGATCGCGCAAAGTTACGACGGAGCGTCAGTCATGAGCGGAGATATGAATGGGGTACAAAAAATAATTAAAGATAAATATTCTTTAGCAAATTATGTTGCTATGCACATCAGATTAACCTTATAATGAGCACTGCAGGTTCAATTAATGCGTCTGTTGAATTTTTTTCACTCATTTAACTGGAATTTGTGCTTTTTTTTCTACATCACCTCAAAGAACAAAAGTATTGACTGATATAGTTCATAGACGATTACCACGCTAATTACAAACGGGATGGAATTTCCAATCACGGGGAGTTAATACTGTTTATGAATACCGAAATGAACTGATAAACGCTATGGATATTTGAGAGAACGACAAAGATATTAAATTAAATTCTACGATTGAGCAAGCTGGTGCTTATAAACATATTACAGGACAGAGATTTTATATTTTTGTTAACAGTTTTTCATAAAGTCATGCCACATATCGAAATAATTTTTAAGCAACTGCAGACGATTAATACCGACCTTATCAAGGCTAAACAAGAACTAAAAAACTTTGAAAATGCAATGCAAAAAATTCGTAATGAAATTGATAAAATTATTGACAAAATAGACTCGGAGCTTTTAGAAACCGAAGATGAACTTGTTCCTCAGAAAAGGCGACGTTACGCTCGTTACGATCGATCTGTTTCAATAAATAGAAAAATAGAAGCCTTGGAAGTTTGCGATTCCATTATAAAACAGATTAAGACACGATTCACTTTCACAGGACATCTAATAGCTGCCGCGTTATTCATGAAAGAAGATTTTATTGAATACCAAAAATACTTTCCTGATCAATTGCTCTCTGATACAGTTAACGCATATCAATTTATAGAAAAAATCGTCTTAAAACAGAACTGCAAGTACTTTACGAAAGAGAAGAGTTGCAAACCATTCCTCTGTTATCATTAGTTTCGCAGGAAGATATGAAGTACACTTTTCAAGAAACTATTAAATTACTGGAAGTTTTAGTGACGAAACCTATGTCAATATCCGAAGCTAAAAGATGTTTCTCTATGTTAAAGAGGATAAAAACATTTTAACGCAACTCAATGAAAGAAGAAAGACTAGGAATGTTATCAGCTGAAAAAGTTTCTAAATAACATTGACGACTTTAATAGACGAGTGATTGACCATTTCGCTAATAAAACAAAACGAAGACTAGACTTTAAATATCGTTAAATGTAAAATATTCTTTATTTTACTGTATAGGTTTGGTGTGCAATAAATTACTATTCAAAGCTAAATTCTGGTAAGTTTTTTGTTAATATTTTGTAAAAATTATAAATGCGAACGTTAATATACTTTAAAATATTACCCAAGATATACTTTTTAAACGACTTCGAGTCAAAATCTGGGCTAGACAGCCGAAAATATTAAACCGTGGCTTCACCTATGTGCTAAGGCACGAGCCGCCACTGAGTTCTTCTTGTGATAACTTTAAAGTTTTAAACAATAAATAAGAAAGAATACAATGTTTATTCTTTATTCATGAAAAGTTTCGTTAGCGACAATCCATATTTAACGGCCACATTACGCCTCTGATAGTGGTCACAACGTTCCTCTTTCAGTTCATTACTGTTACCCGATCCGCTTTATACCGGCAACATGGCAACATCTCATCCTTATTAAAAGCGACCTGAAATTAGTAAAATGTACACTCTCGAATACCTGTCAGGGAATTTGTTTGTAGGGAATCTCTAATTAATTATTATTATGATTTTATGATGTATACGCCGGCGGTAGAAGTTTGAAGGGAAGGGGAAAGAGGTCGATCAATAAACGTTGGATAGAAGGGAATTTATTTAATTAATGGTATTAAACTAATTAGTTATTTAGTTAATACGAGAAATGAGTCAGTATGGTGGATTGACTTTAATTTAGTGAAACTTCTGTATAATTAGAGAAAAGAGGGGTTGCTGTCTAGGTGTGGCTTTTAATAATTTCAATTTGTGAATTAAAGTTGACTGTTGTATGTGTTTAATTATGTTTAACATTTGTAAATATTTTTATAATTTAATTATTACCTTAACAATTACTCATCCTACAAAGTAATAATAAAAAATATAGGAAGGGTCGAATAGTATTAACACCGACGGTTCAAAAACAAAACTAGTCTCAGTCTAAACAAAAAATGGACCAAGCAATAGTGAGCAATAGTAACAGCAGTAGAGTTCAGCTAAGCTCAAGGGGATTCGCATCGAGGTAAAAGAAATTTTTAAGAACAAAATCAATATAACGAACATCCCCTTATATACCTAGCAAACAAGCACTATATATCCTGGACATTCCACAAATTTACTCAAACTTGGTATTAGATTGTCCGAGTTAAAGTATGCATCAACAATATTGTCAATTGTCATGTTAAGATGAATAAAAAGCCTCGCAACATCAAAAGGAAACTGTCTTGCCGATTAACTAGTCAAGAAGACAGCCAACAAAATACTTTTTGGACCTGGCCTTTCATTGGACTAACAACGTCGGTCGTCATAGACCTAATTTAAGAATATTATTTGTTGAAACTTGGGGAAAGGTGAGATAAAACAATAAGTTACAGAGTTACTAGAGATTTTCCTTAAGTTTATCTTCACAACACTGGATCGAAACAAATTCTTGACTATGACTTATCAGAATCTGCGTTTAATCGTCATTCTGACTGGTCATTACCATGTACGGATGTACCTCCATAGCATAAGGCCATCAAATTATTTACTCTCAGGGGATGTGAAGAAGAAAATGAGACTATTGAGATGCAGATTTTAAGGTTATCTACGAATCATCTAGACATTGACTGTACTCCATAATTGATGTCACGACACCGTGTGTTCACACATACTCACATGCCCCACACACACACACACACACACACACACACACACACACACACACACACATATACACACACACACATACGCCCACACACACACACACATACACATACACATACACACACACATACACATACACACACACAGACAGACATAATTCACATTTTATCATTTAATTTACACTAATTACATGTTAGTGCTAGTGTAAAACAGTGTAATAAATCTTCACGCCAACTTGTGGTGCTTTCCTATAGAAACAATTAAGACAGCCCAATGGGGACTTCTTAGATAAATAATTAGTTTGTAAGATTTTTAGATTAAAATTGTAGGTTAGTCAGTAATGACTAGTAACAATACTGTAAAAAAAAAAAAAATTAAATTTTTTGATAGAACTCGATCTTCTAACACAGATCACACTCAATTTTTTTAAAAAAATGCGAAAATAAACTTGGAGCAACAAATTTTATACTTAGGCTTTATTCTAGCCTGCGGTCAACTGATTAGATTTTGGGCAAAGTCGGAACATTTGGGGGGTACTTTATTGGTGGTCATTTTTATATTTTATGAAATATATCCGTTATTTACGTTTGGAGAAGAAAATTCTTTTAATAATAGTTACTTATAATATTATCTATAATTTTTGTTATATACAAAATTTTCCTAAAATGGTCCGTATTCGAAAAATTTGACAAAATGTAAAAAAAAATATTTTTTATAAAAATTGTTTAAATAAAAGTTGTTTGTAATATAATTCTCTATAATTTTAAATTCATACATAATTTCTCTAAAATGGAGCGTATTCGAGATATTTGAGAAAATGTGTAAATTTCGAATTTAGAAGAAAACTCAAAAACGGATAAAGAAAAATACATTAAGTTTTAAACTTAAGGTTTATTTCGGCCTGAGGTGAAATGATTAGATTTTGGACGAAGGGGGAACATTTGGGGGGTACTTTATGTGAGGCCGTTTTTATATTTTATGGAATATATCTGTTATTGATGTTTGGAGAAGAAAATTGTTTCGATAGAAATTACTAACAATATTATTATCTATAATTTTGGTTGTAAACAATTTTTTTTTAAATGGTCCGTATTCGAGAAATTTGACAAAATGTAATAAAATTCAAATTTTTAGAAAAATTGTTTAATTAAAAGTTATTTGTGATATCGATCTCTATAATTTTTGTTTTTATATAATTTTTCAAAAATGGACCGTATTGGAAAAATTGAAGGAAAAGTGCTAAATTTAAATTTTTCAGTATTTTCGTTTTCAATGAATATTTATAGAAAAATGTTTCGAGTTAGATGTATGTGGAAAATATATATATTTAGTTTATCCTCTAAACATTTATAGAGGTGCTGCAATAGGTTGTACAAAATAACCGGAAAAAGCTTATAATAACTAGATAGAAAAGTCATGTGTTGGACACATCAGATTTTTTTAATTAAATTTACAGATTTTTATTTAATAATATTTTTTGGGAAATTTGATACAGAAACAACATATTAATAAGCAAAGGTAAAAAAATTTATGAAAAAAAAACTATCTAGTAGAAAATTTCGTAATAAGCAACAGATCCTTTCGAAAGTCATGAGCAAAAAGAGGAAAGAATGTAATAATATTTCCGGAGAAGTTTAACGTCTGCAATCTGAGAAATGAATTTACTAACTTCACCGAAATAATTCGTGTTTTTAGTCTTGTTAATATAGTGGACGGTGAGAATGTTTGCGTCAGTATATATATTGAAATGTCCGAGACAGAGCCATAACCTAAAACATAACTGCGAAGCGGTGTCATCTGCATGCTTTTAAACATAAAACATCGCCCAATTCGCCAAATACAACTCTACTATAAAATCTGAATAATTGCAGGCTTTATTTTTCCCTTTATTTTTTTTTGCCATATATTCGATCCAAAAATATTAATGTCATTTATGTTCATATATTTTTGTAATGACAATAATTATTATTATATAATCATAATTTTGAACTTTTGAAGTTCCTAAAAAATTAAATAAAAACAGAAGGTAATCAAATAAGGAAATCAATTTTAGAAGATATACATAAAATATTAAGTTATTCGAAAAATTAGAAGAATGTTTACATCAAATTGCAAATATTGAACAAAAACATAATCAATTGGAGACTAAATGCTTTAACTTTGATAGAATAACCCGTAAAAACAAAATTTTGATATTTAGTTTGAAAGTATCTGGCCATTCAGATTTAACAAGTATGGTCCTATAACGATTTATGCGCATCTCGTGCGTCGCAACTCGGGCGGAATACTTAATTTTTCGCATTTCGGGCGTAAGGCTACAGGTAGATTAAATACCCTTCGCAACTCGGGCGTTCAAGGATCGGTACCAATAATATAGCAATATAATGAATGTCACCTCTTTAGTTTAACCTGAGAAGGTGCTTTCGGCCTAAACTTAAAATTATATACAGAGTGCCGCACAAGAGGAGCTTTCCAGTTTTTAAATATTATGTAACTTTCATAAAACAATATTTTTTTATTTATCTTTCTCTGCGAAAATCGTCTCTATATTATATTGTTGACATTTGAAATTGTCGTTTTTATTGAAAAAAGTATAATTTATTTTTTATATAATAATTAGATTGATAAATAATAAAGTGTAATTAACTCGGCTAGCTATTTAATTTTTATTTTAATCCATTTTTTTATGTACATTGTGTGTCTGTGTTCAGGGCCGCTGAGTGCCAGGCCGGGCCCCAGGACAATTCTCTAGATCGGGCCCCGTCATAAAAAAATCTTTAACCAAAAACTGTTCTTCTTCTACTGAAATAGAAAACAAAAAACTATTCTCCCTACTTCAATTACTTCTTATTCTAAAAAAAAAAAGGTCCTTACGTCAAAAAGCTATCTAAAAAAAAAAAAAAAAAAAAAAAAATCCTCACATCAAAGTCCTCATCCGAAACTAAACTTCCCACTCTCATCTTGTGTCGAATTTCTCATACAGAACAAAAAATACTGTTGTCGGGCCCCCATTTAAGCCCGGGCCCCGGGCATTAGTCCCGGCTACCCCCCCCCCCTTTCTAGTCGGCCCTGTCTGTGTAAGTT